CCAGGGCTGTTTTTGTTTTTAAATTGAATAGTATTTCATTGTTATGTCCCAAAACTTGCATTGATGTGGCATTATTTTTGTGCATCAAATATCTCACATACACACACACACACACACACACACACACACACTGAATTGTGCTGTGATTTTAGAAAGGACCCCCTCTCGTCACTCTTAGAGCCAGAAACTTTCCCCTTGTGAGACAGGGCACCACCAGCACCCACCCCACACTTCACGACCATCAGTCTTATAAAACCTGTTATCGGAATTCCACCAACCTTTCTGCAGTTTGCTCCCTGCATTTCCCTGCCACCCCTCCCCCAAATCAAGTGATTCTGACAATGAGCAGCGCTTGGGCCTGACAGCTCTGGTCTAGGCAACTCAATGACTTCTACCTATTTCTAGCCAAGTCCCTTGTCCTGTTTGGAATTTTGTTCTTGGCTTAGCACAAAAACCTAAACTGAGACCTAAGGGACTACAAAGTTAATCCATTTAGTGGATCACAAAGAAAGTTCGTTCAATAATTCTTTTTTAAATGACAACAATCTGCTCTAAAGCTAACATATTACACTGCAGGAGCAGCCACAACCACACTGCATAGACATTTCCTGGATGTGACTGTGCCGGGCACAGTCTCAGAGGACAGCAGTGGACAGAAGTGCCCTATGGAGCTTAAACTCTAAGGGAGAGACACTGACAAGTGATCTGAAGGGGAATCATGGTTACAAATCAAGATGCCACATAAAAGGGGAATGAAGCTAGTCAGTCATGAGGAATGTTTCTTTAAGGACGGCAGGGAGAGGAGGACGACTGAGCTGTCAACAAACTGCGCAGGAAGGGGGAATCATAATAATGAATCACTGCTCCACCGTGGAATTTCACAACTAATTCATGAGAAGAGTATTAGTTAGCAGTGCCCAAATTTGGCACCTACTATTTTCAGAAGCAGAGGTAAAATTAAGTCTGCATTTTTTAGCATGTTATGAACAAACCCTACTTCATGATTCGTTTTTAAAGTGCGACCAGGGCAAGTAACCACCATCGGGCATCTACTCATGTCTGGCAGCGCCTAACAATAAAGAAACAGGAGCAGCAAATGGGAATGTGATCATGGCTTCTCCCAAAGGCTTTTCCGAAATGATCCCCATGTTAACAATACTGTACCCCACATTTCCTCATAACAGTTCAAATTATCCTACAACTCCCAGGGGAACCACCTTGGAAGTCATAGGGTGAGCCAGTGCCCTTAGCATCTGTCTGTGCTCTCCCACCTGCTGCTGCTTTTCTTTGCTTTTTTTTAAAATATATTTTATTGATTTATTTTTTTTTTTATAGAGAGGAAGAGAGAGAGGTAGAGTTAGAAATATCGATGAGAGAGAATCATCGATCAACTGCCTCCTGCCCACTCCCCACTGGGGATGTGCTCGCAACCAATGTACATGCCCTTGACCGGAATCGAACCGGGACCTTTCAGTCCGCAGGCCGACGCTCTATCCACTGAGCCAAACCGGTTTTGGCCATCTGCTGCTTCTTAGAGCTGTGTGACCTTGGCAAGTCATTGGACTACTCTTAGCTTCAGCGTCATCTGTAAATGGTGACAACAGGACTGTATGTGATTCCCTGCGCCCAAAGCACTGCCTTGAACACAGCAGGCACTTTGCAACTTAAAGAGACAGAAAGAGCTGGCTGTCCTGGAGTGAGGAGAGCCAGAGTCACTCAGTCTCACAGCTGTGCTTTTGGTCGATGCTGCTTCCTGGAACTGGTCATGGCTTCAGTGCCTGACAAACTGGCCCTCACATGCCAACTCTAACTCTTTCTCTGGGAAACGTGAACACTTCCTCGCCACGAAACCATCACTGTGCTCTCTCCTTCAGCCACTGTGCATCCACTGTCCATCAGGTTTGTGCCCAAGACCCAATCCCGATGGAACCTGTGGCCCGACTTCTCCTGGGCAGCAAGGGCAGCAAACAAACTACTGAGCACCTGCCTCTGGGCTCTGCACTCCCCGCTGCTGTATTTATCACGGTGGCACGTGTGCTAGAAAGGCCTCGTGTCTTCCTAGACTGTGTGAAAACCACAGCCTCTGTTTTCCCTCTTGTTTTTGAACTGTTTCTAATTTAGGAGCACAATGCGTACCTTGAAGCAAAAGTGGCTTTACAACACTTGGACCCGAACCAGAAGCCTTTCACAGGAAACAGGAAGTGGCTGCTTCCCCACCCCCATCCTGCACTCTGAGCATAACCCGACTAGTTATTCCATACAATTTAGGCAAAGGGACAGAATCTGAATCAAAGGATTTCTGAGTTGGAGGAAAACCTCCACGCCTCAGAGCGGGCTCTGCCAAAACGGAGGACAAGTCTTAGTACCAGGTGGCGAGTCCTGGCCGGGACCTGTGCAGCCCACACTTCCACAGCGCTCTGGGGAGGCGCACAAAGGCAAGGTCTGGAATCCCGGGGATTGTCATCAGGAATGCACTGAATGCCTCGCAACCTTAAGGGCCCGGGGTTGGAATCCCGGCCTGAATTGGCCGCGGGAAACAGCTGACTAACAATGTCAGCTGGGCATATTTTGATACCTTCGACTTCGGTCCCATGTCGGAAGGGGCTGCACACAGCTCTGTGGCCCAGGAGCCCTCGGAATGGTACGCGAGGGCCTCCGGGACCTGCCAGGGCTGCCACATTCTCCTCATAGCTAGAGTGGCTCCCCAGAGGGGTTTCCAGATCAGCCCCAGTGGGCACCGGCAGAAGTGACTCGGGGGAGACTTCCAGCTGTGAAGGGCTAACAAAGCTAGGCACTCTCTATTTGAATGTGAAAGACCCGCCTCAATCAAAGGAGCCCTTAAGCCATAAAACCCTTCACACCAAGGCCAAGTGTCACACTTGTAAGAGGGTGTGATTTATAAATTGACAGCACCCACAAAGCTGCTTTTGTGCGCCTCCGTTAGTTAACAATTTATCTCCCCCCACCGAACTCACGGCGCTATTCAGACAAGGCTCCACTGGGCCTCAAGAAGAAAGGAAGGAAGGAAAAAAGGACTCAAGTTTTGGCCAAAACACCAATGTTCACTCAAAATAATTACGGCCCTGTGAATAGACACTAAAATTAGGGCCTAATAATTCCTCTGTATCACACGCATGGCATCAGACTCTTCCAGCACAAACATAAAGAGCGAGAGAGAGAGAAAACCTCCAGCGCAGCCTTGCTGGAGACGAAGAGTTCCACTTCTGCGGTTTCTGCAGCCTCTTTTGTGGTTTCCCTGCTCTGAGAATCCCCCCTTTAGAGCAATTTTAACTCAGTGCTCTGACCAGCTGTTTTTCTTTCTCGACATTTAAACCTACAAAGCAAAGAGTAAATATGGGCTTGGTCGTATCTTTCCTCTCAGTTCGACCAAACCAATTCTGGCCACTTCACCTGGTTTTCCCCACCACGAGATTCCTTTTCTGATTCCACCACCACCTAGAAACCGGCGTCTCTGATTCCCTTTCCACTCCTCTTTTTAGAAAATGAATTTAAATTACGGCACCAATTCCAAGTAGAATCTAATTATAAACTTAAAAATATACACCTGATAACATTTGCCAGCCTTGAGGTCTTTGTTCTTGAAAGATTTGGTGAAACCAACACTTTAAGGAAACAAAACAATTCAAGTTTTAACTGTCTCCTGCCCACTTAGGACCTTACTAAATTGTCTACCAATTTCACTTTCCTTTAAAATAAAAAAAACAAATAAAAGTAATACTCTTTGGCCATGGCTGGGTAGCTCAGTTGGTTGGAGGGCTGTCCAGATACACCAAGGTTGCAGGTTCCATCCGCAGTCAAGGCACATATAAGAATCAACCAGCCAAAACCGGTTTGGCTCAGTGGATAGAGCGTCGGCCTGCAGACTGAGGGGTCCCAGGTTCGATTCCGGTCAAGGGCATGTACCATGGTTTCGGGCACATCCCCAGTGGGGGGTGTGCAGGAGGCAACTGATCAATGATTCTCTCTCATCGATGTTTCTAACTATCCATCCCTCTCTCTTCCTCTCTGTAAAAAAATCAATATTATTTAAAAAAAAAAAAAAGAATCAACCAAGGAATGCATAAATAAGTGGAACAACAAACTGATGTTTCTTTCTAAAATCAATAAAAAAAATTCATGGTCTTTGCTCAAAAACAGTCTTTTTAACACTACTTCATATACCAGTGTTCAGATCACTGGCTCACAGACCATGCAAGTCCTCAAACATGTTCTCTTTAGCCTCTGCTACTGACAAGAACAGTACTGGTGAGTAGGTTGCCAGTATTACAAAGTTTGGGACAGAGCATTAAAAAACCCCACTACATTTCTTTCTTTCTTTTTTTTTAAAGTATATTTTTATTCATTTCAAAGAGGGAGAGGGAGAGAGATACAGAAACATCAATGATGAGAGATAATCATTGACTGGCTGCCTCCTGCACACCCCACACTGGGTGGTGATCAAGTCCACAACCTGGGCATGTGCCCTAACCAGGAATTGAACCGTGATCTCCTGATTCATAGGTGGACGCTCAACTATTGAGCCATGCCCTAACTGGTTTGGCTCAGTGGATAGAGGGTCAGCCTGCGGGCTGAAAGGTCCCTCAGGTTCAATTCCGATCAAGGACATGTACCTTGGTTGCGGGCACATCCCAGTAAGAGGTGCGCAGGAAGCAGCTGATCGATGTTCTAACTATCCCTCTCCTTTCCTCTGTAAAAAACAACAACAATATAATATATCTTTAAAAAAACCACACACCAAGACTCCTGAGACATTTCTGATTGTCTTAAAAATCACATCTGGCATCCTAGAGCCACACATTCCCTCACAGCTCAGCTGGCTGGCACTAAGCAGCAGCTACCCCCCTTTAAGTGGAACAAGCACTGACCCAGTCTATCCAGACCCTCCCTTCAAGCCCACCATGCTGGTTTCCTCCTCGGCCATTGTAACTGCCAGTCCCAGGAGGCGTGGGGTTCCGGCCCCTCCCCCACAGTACACATACCTTCTTGACCATAGTTGTCTCAGATGAATCCAGTTTCGCTCTCTTGGTGTCAGGGCCATCTTCTACTCCTTGGTTAACCTTGGCAACTTTGGTCTTCTCCCTGGACGGTGACAGAGAGGGAATCCAGTTCTACTCTAGGAATCACGCCATTAGCACAAATAAAGCACTACCAGCTCCAGATGGGATGTGGGTTAAGAGCCAAAGTTTTGGAGTCAAACAAACCTAAGCTCAAATCCTAGCTTGGCCACCGATTACCTGACGAGCCAGTCACCCACTAGTAACAACTGCTAACAAAAGATTCTTGTAAGAAGAGAAGTAACATACATTTCTTAGCACACAGCCGAGTAAGCTCTCAATAAACTGTGAACGTACCACTTGAATCATGAATTACTCTAAATTCCTCCCCTCTGCATGGGGAACTCATGTTAAAATAATTTGGACTGCCCTGGCTGGTTTGGCTCAGTGGATAGAGCGTTGGCCTGCGGACTGAGGGGTCCCAGGTTCAATTCTAGTCAAGGGCACATGCCCGGGTTGTGGGCTTGATCTCCAGTGGAGGGAAAGGCAGCCGAACAATGATTCTCGTTGCTATTTCTAACTTTCTCTCTTTCTTTTCCCCTCTCTCCCCTCCCCCATCTTTTCTGAAATCAATAAAAATATTTTTAAAATAATAATCTGGACTGCTTTCCTCTATGACTTCTTTATCCATTTATAATGTGCCCAAAGAACTAGATTTCCTAAAGCCACAAAACGCTGGAGTTATGGGAGATCCTGAACATGTCTGTACTCCCCCCATGTCAACCTTACAGGCAAGAAACTTGCAGACCAGAGAAATCTCAGGGACTTGCCTGAGAAGCTGAACTAAAGGAAGTTCTTGACTTGTAGGAAGCTCACCTGCCACACAGCAGGGTCTCTCTTTACCTCTCATGGGGGAGAAGGGGGTGCCAGTAGTCAGAAAATGACAACCAAGCCAAGACCGGTTTGGCTCAATGGATAGAGCGTCGGCTTGGGGACTGAAGGGTCCCGGGTTCGATTCCGGTCAAGGGCATATGCCTTGGTTGCAGGCATATCCCCGGTGGGGGGTGTGCAAGAGGCAGCTGGTCGATGACTCTCTCTCTCATCGATGTTTCTAGCTCTCTATCTCTCTCCCTTCCTCTCTGTACAAAATCAATAAAATATATTAAACATCCTGGACTTAAAAAAAAAAAAAAAAAAAAAGAGGAAAAAAAAAGAAAATGACAACCAAAAACAGCCCAACTCATGTAGTTTTACAATACTGGTAGCATCTTTCATCTTCGTGCTACAAGTTCAAAACCCTGCAGGTCCCATCATGTGAGAATCACCACGGTCTGCAACCGCAATGTTCAAACGGAAAGGACCAGGGCTGCTGGCTGCACAGAGCAGTCTTTGGGCCATGGAGCTTTTATTTCCAAGGTAGATGTTGGCTGAGTGTGCCTCCAGAGTTGCCCATCTAACTTATTTTGTAACCTGAAAAGTTTGACCTGCTAAGCTGGGCAAAAATGTTTACAATCCAAACAAGTCTTCCCTAAAAGCTTGTTTCGCCCCCTGAAATCCAGAGTGATCAAATCCCCGGGTGATGTACTTTAATTGCCTAGAACACTGCTTTCTTTATGCTTTAAATTAGACCATCATTGTGGAAGGCAAGGTCCCCATCTCCTGCAATTATGAACACAAAACCTATGTATCGGAAACTGTTAATGAATTGGTTTTCCAATATCCTAAGTGTTAAGAGTAAAAGACTTTCCTTAATGGTTCAATCCCTATCAGTGAGTAAAATTACACTTTGAGAACGTTCTATTCACTCCTCCTCCCCCAACACTTACTCTACAAATTCATGCTCTCCAAGATTGGCAAATGTGTATCCATGGTAGCCAAAAACATCTCCTGTAAAGAACTTGATGCTGTTTTTGTGACAGATCTGGTCAATTTTAATTATGACATCCCTGGAGCAGCAAGTCAGACATACCTGCAGAAAGAAAGAAATTGGCTGGGTGTGAGTTCCGCAAACTGTGAATCATTGTCCTGATGTCTAAATAAATCTTAATGAACAGTCTCACTAGGCATGTCTAAAGCCAGTTTCAAACTGGTACAACAGGTTCCTTGGGTCCTATGGCTAGAAGACAAAAGGAAAGTTGCAGGTTTCAGTGCGTAGAAAATGTAAATTATGAGACGTTACATTCTGCCACCCAAATGAAATGTGTTTACCTAGAAAGTAAAAGCCATTTAATGAATTTGTTCCCCCTGATCCATGAACACATAGAAGCCACATTTCATGGTTTTCATGAAAAGAAAAAGACACTAATAACTTAAGGGTAAGCTATTTCTAAGTGATTAAATATACTGAAATCTGAATAAGCTACAAGGAACAAAACCAGTTTTTAAAATTGACCCCTAGTCACGTTTAAATACAGGGGCACTTTCCCCCTTCTTTTGATTGATGCGTTCAGATAAAAAAGATAAGCAAGTCCTGTTGAGATTACGTTTCCAGTTTTCCATGTGAAAACTTGATCTCAATTTAAGGACAAAAAACAACAACAACAACAACAACAAAAAAAAAAAAAACCGGTTACAGACCAAGTGACCTCCGTTCAGGCTTAGACAATGAACTCGGTGGAATTATCAATGCTGCTGTGAGGCCTGTAGGTTCTATTCCAATAAGTTAAAGGATTGGAAATGTTTAAATTTCATGGCATAAAACACCGTCTTTTCTGGAGAGGCTTTGTAATCACGGCCAAGAAGATAAGTTCTAATGCAGACATTTTTCATCTGAACATAGAAAGTTGGGGAATAAATTACAAAAGGATATTTTCATTTGATAGAACCTCTCAGCTCTTGTCGGGCAGGCAGACTACTGAAATAACACTCATGGAGAAATATGTGCATCTGGTGTCATTCAGAGGACACAGCCTCGCAAGGAAAAAGCAAATCTAAAAAGGTGAGACAACCATAACTGAACATGCAATCAACTGACAGAATGGAAACGTGCAGTCACAGTAACTAAACCCAATTCAGGGCCAGGCAAACCGGCCTGTGCGACAGTCACGCCTGCCCCGCGCTCCTGCGTTATACACGCTCTGGCCCCACGCTTCAGTTCTAACAAAGCTTCTAGTTGCTAAAAGGTTGAGGGACACATAGAATCAATCAAATGTGGTTACTATGAATAAAGGAATGAAGAGAAGACCTTCATCCACATGGAAAATGTTCCAGTATCTGGAGTTACGAAACAGAATGAATTAAAAAGAAAAAAAAGGACAAAATGCACAGATGATCCATCATTTCAAGCCCATATTTGAACAGATGCGCATATGAAATATAACAGCGTGAAAAACAAACTACTCAACCCGAATTCTAACCTCTCGTATAATGGGCCTTTCATTTAAAAAACAAGTAGATCATCTGTGACTTTCACGATTATTCAAGCTTCTTGCAGGGTACAAGGAACCATGTCTGAAAGGTCACAGGCGCCGAAACAGAATTTCACTTATCCCTTCACCTCTGCGGGGATTTGGCAAAGAAACCAAGTGAGGTTGGATATGCCTCATTTGGCTTATGACTATAGAGATTTTGTCTAGTTATCCACGGCAACATGGTCAAAGTGGCTGAGCGAGAGAGACAGACCAAGATCAGGTGTGCTCTTTTTAAAGACAAAACACAAGCTGTAGTTTGATATTTCTAACAAAAAAAAAAAAAATGACTGCTACAGAAATTAATCACCAACTTGTTAAGTTCTCAGGAGAAAACATTTGCAGTAATATGTAGCAAAGCCATGTGCAAAGATTCTGGAAGGAAGACAAACACCATGGATGAAACCTGGTCTAAGGGAACATATGCCCAAAGAATTAACCAACAGACAGCGACTCAAAACTCTAGCAGACCCAACATGCTGGATACACCGACCCACACGTTCAATCTACTAAGGCAGCATAGTAAACCTAAAGAGCAATTCAACTAATCAACTTACTTGGGAAAAAGCTCAGAATTCGAGATTCTAATGCTTTAGTGTATCTAGAGCACACACAATTAGTGCTTTAATCCCCCCAGATCAGACACTATGAAACTCACAGCATCAAACTGAGTGAAAAATGACTCGGGTTTCTTTTCTATATCCTCAGTGTCCGCCTTCACTTCCACCATGGGGTTGAGATTCTGAGCTCGCTCCAAAGAGGCTTCAGCCCTGTTTCGGCCAACAGATCCAGTACGGATCAGGAACTGAGCTTCGGGGTCTTCTGGAGATACCTAGGAAGAGATTGTTCTTAAACACTTGAATTTGGAGAAAATCGTATCGCAAAGACAATGAACCTTTCCATTTTAAAAGATAACTAAAATATCTACCATTTGATTGCATTACTGTCCCTGCAGGAATCATGCCTAATGCAGACGCCCTACACTCTTTCTTCTGAGGCTTTAAAACAGACATTTAACGTTTACTGGGCATTGATGGTTAAAGAGCACCCCCTTGTGTTTATAAAGAAAATTCACTCTAAACTGGAAAAGTCCATGCTTTCTTCTTCAATTTAAGTTTGTAACTGCTATCAAAATGATATAATTATTAGTGGTAAGCATTTACCAGATACCTACCCATGTGCCCAACTCTAGGCATTCAGAAAGAAACAAAAGTAGTTTAAAGGATGAAGTCCCTTTCTACAGTGGTTTCAAATTAGACCAGTGCAAATTTCAGAATTTTTGAAATGAACAATGCTTGAAATGAACTCTTAAATTCAATGAAAACTCGGAGGAGAAAAGATGATTGGGGACTGGAGTAGAGAGATGATTTCACCTATAAGGCTGGATTATCACAGAGCCTCAAAGACAGGTAACATAATCACATGACAGTCCCCAGTAGGGTTACAGACTTCATATTGTTCCCCCCACATCAAACATCTCATTTAACCATTAATCTCTAGGTGTGACTTCATCACCTTCACCAAGACTGGGTTCACCAGTAATAATCTTCCCTCCCCCTCTCCTTCCAAGTACCCACAGCACTACCTCACTACACTGCTTTCAAAAAAATGAGCTGGTCCTTCTCCCATTCAAGGCCAACCCTCTAACAGGATCCTTGACCCATCCCATCTCGCTTCTTCAGAGGTCTCATTATACTAGTATTATACGCCAGGGATAGGAAACCGTTTTTCTGCCAAGGGCCATTTGGATATTTATAAAACCATTCACGGGCCACACAAAATTATCAACTTAAAAATCAGCCTACTCTATTTGGTCAAACATTTAAATAACTCACCCATAATGCTTGGCAGGGCCAGACCAAATGACTTTGAGGGCCTTATACGGCCCACCGGCCAGAAGTTCCCCACCCCTGCTCTACACCATAGTGGTTAAGAGCAAGGTTCGGACATAATTCAGGCAGGATTCAAATCTTTTATTCAAATGTGACTCAACCACTTACTGTGTGACCTTGAGCAAGTATGAGGAAATCACATGTAAAATGCAGATGTTAATAAAAACAATGCACTTACTAATTACTCCATCAATGCTAATTATTATTACTATCCATGCTCTGCTCCCTTGGCCTCTCAGACCCTGGCTCTCCTCCTCATGTAGATAAACAGTCTAGCCTCTACATGGGCCCCAAGATTCCATCTCAGAATCTTTCATCTTTTCACTCTGTATACCAGCATAAGCCAACTCAATGATTCTTTTAATTCCTACCAGAATTTCTGGTATTTCTTAAATTGCTCTTACTGTACAGATTTCTTCCTGATCTGAGCCTTGTATTAAACTAACTGCCCACCAGATACTTCCTCCTGGATAAACCAAAGGCCCTTCACATTTGACTCTTGTATTTGTCTCTGTTGATAAGCCCACCAAACTGCCCAGCCAGTCACCCGAATCAGAAACCTGATGTTCAAATCCTTGGTATTTCCTCGACAGCAGTCACCTGCTAAGGTGGCTAAGAGCATGGGCTCTGCCACGAGCCAAATTGACTGAGTCATTGTCTCCCACTAACTACTGTTAAATGGGCCAGTACTTCACTTCCTTTTCTCAGTTTTCTTATCTGTAAAATAGGGATGACAAGCTCTAGAAGTCAGAGTTGTGAGAACTAAATGATACTACAGCTCTTAAAACAGTGTCCGGCACTTTCAGTGTCAGTTGTTGTAAGATATTCTCCCATCCAAGCACTAACCAGGCCCGACCCTGCTTAGCTTCCGAGATCAGACGAGATCGGGCGCGTTCAGGGTGGTATGGTCGTAGACTGTTGTAAGATATTCTTTGTTTTCCTCCCAAGCCCATTTACATTCCTATCAGTTCTTCTAAGTTTTTCTACCTGTGTGATTCCTGCCCTATCACAGTATCATCACTCATATCCTTTTCATCTCACCAAAACTACTAAAGCAGCCTTGTAAGTGGTCTTTACCCTGTATCTTTGCCAACCATAGCGGATACAGTAATTGCCATCTACCCAAAGTCTGGGGCTGACCGGTCCCTCTCCCCACATTGGAAACTCTTCAATGTATCCTTCCCACCCAGGGGTCTAATAAGAGCTTACAGCGGGGCTTGCCAGCAGGCTCTTAAGATTTGGACCTTACCTGCACCCTCCTCGCGCCTCCCACTACTTTGAGCTTCACTCTCCAAACATTCCACACTGCCTTCTATGTTCCATTTCTCCCCTGCTGTCCTGTGCCACTGCTATGGTCCCGGTCTGAAATACAGTCCCTCGGCTTGATCAATCTCTACTTGTTCTTTAATACTCAGCTCAGATCAGAACTCCAGGAAGACTTTTACGTCCCATCACACCCCGAGTCAGGGAGCCCACTCTGGTTTCGGGGGGGGGGGGTGGGTGCGGGAGGGGGGACTGAGAATGGGAAATACTTCAGGGTAGCAGAAGGTGATCGTGGATGCTTATTGATGAATGAAATGAAAACCTCTACGGAACAGAAGATAACATCCTCATTTTATAGGTGAGCAAACTGAGGCTCTGAAAGGTTAAGTCCTTTGCTCACCTTGAGGAGGGAGGATCTGAACTCAGGCCTGCACGATTCCAAAGCGTTTGCACTATGTAGCACTGTCTGCCTGGGATTTTTCTCGTCATGGGGAGGGGGGAAGGAAAGGACACAAGCAAACTGCAAAGGGCAGAGGAAGCACGGTGTTCATGAGCTTTTAGATTTATGAGATGGGGGTCAGGGAGGGTAACTTGACTGGGACCAGACTACATGAAGCCAGAGGTTCTCTACCCTCCCTGACTGTCAGAATGGAGAACTTTTATTTTAAAATAACTCCCCAGCCGAAACCAGATAGAGCGTCTGCCTGCGGACTAAAAGGTCCCAGGTTCAATTCTGCTCAAGGGCATGTACATTGGTTGGGGGCACATCCCCAGTAGCTGATCTGATTCTCTCTCATTGATGTTTTTAACTCTCTCTTCCTCTCTGTAAAAAATCAACAAAATATATTAAAAATATACAAATATATATATATATATCCCCAAAGGTTCTAAAGCACAGATGGGGCTGAGAACCTCTGTGCAAAGCCTTGAAACCAGTCAGAGGAGTCAGGCCTTGCATCGGAAGGCAGTAGAAGGCTCTCTAAATCCTCAAAGTGAAGAGGTAAGGAATGACAATCAGCCTGTTCACTTCAACACTGGTTGGCATTCATCACTGGACTGAGGCGGTGACAGAACCGTATCACACGCCCCTCCCTGTTAAAGTATCGTCCCCCATTCTTGGATTTCTCCAACCAGATGAGAAACCAGCACCCCTGTGTGGTTTCATTTATTCCACCAAGGCTCCCAGTTGAGGAACCATCCTTCCTTGAGTCTCTAACTCTTAATCTCTCTCTACATTACAAATTCTTCCTCTAGGTGGGGTGTTCCTGCCTCTAGGGGGCACTGTAATTGGGGAGATGTCAAAGCAGCAGGTACATACTCCGACTGTTAAATTGCTTGCTGGAATTTTCCTTTCTTAGAAGGTTGTCTATTTATTTATTTATTTTTAATCCACATCTGAGGATATTTTCCCACTGATTTTTAGAGATAGTGGGAGAGAAGGGGAAAGACAGAAATATCGATGTGAGAGAAATACATCAATTGATTATCATCTCCAGCACTTGCCTCGACCAGGGCTGGGGCTGGGGAGGAGCCTGCAACCAAGGTACCTTTGGTTTCCCCTGATCCAATCGAACCCGGGACCCTTTGGTTGGCAGGCCAACTCTCTATCCAAACTGGCTAGGGCTTAAAAGATTTTAAATTCAAGTAAAAACTCAATATATGACTGTGATATTAAGAAAAATTCAAATTGCAGTAAAATTTTTAAAAATTAATGATTGCAGCCCTGGTCTGGTGGCTCAATTGACTGAAGCATCATCCAGTGCACAAAAAAGTTGCAGATTCCATTCCCAGTCAGGGCACATACCCAGGTTTTGGGTTCAATCCCCCGTCAGGGAGTGTACAGGAGCCAAATGATCAGTGTTTCTCTCACATCAATGTTTCTCTTCCTCTCCTTTCCTCTCTCTCTAAAATCAATAAAATCAGCGCTAGCTGGTTTGGCTCAGTGAAAAGAGCATTGGCCTGTGGACTGAAGGTCTGAGGTTCAATTCTGGTCAAGGGCACATGCCTGGGTTTCAGGCTTGATCCCCAGTAGGGAGCATACAGGAGGCAGCCAATAATTATCATTAATATTTCCACCTCTCTCCCTCTCCCTTCCTCTCTGAAGTCAATAAAAAAATTTTTTTTTAATCAATAAAAACATACTCGTAGGTGAAGATTAAAAAAAAAAAAATACTTGAAAAAAGTTAAAAAATCTTTAAAGTATTTAACCTAAAAAGACATGATTCCTAGAATTTGTTTTAAAATACTGTCCAAAGCCCAGCCTGTGTGGTTCAATAGTTGAGCATTGACCTATGAACCAGGAGGCATAGGTTTGATTCCCAGTGCGGCACATGCCCGAATTGCGGATTCAATCTCCAGTATAGGGCGTGCAGGAGGCAGATGAGACAAGGATTCTCTCATCAATGTTTCTGTCTCTCCCTCTCCCTTCCTCTCTGAAAGCAATAAAAATATTTTTAAAAAAAATATATAAAATAACATAACATACTGTCAAAAAAAAGAGAGGGTAAAAGATCAATCTCTTTAAAAATCAACAAAATACTGCTGGAGAAGCCAGGTAGATGGTATGTCAAATATTATTCTCTCTACTTTTATGTATATTTGAAAATGTCTATTTAAAAAAAAACTAAAATGCCATTGAGGCATGAGACTAGAGTAAGAAGCAGTTATTTTCACTTTAGATAAAAGACAAGTCAGATGAAAGCTACACTGGAGCTGGACACTATAATTATATCACCGATTAAATCATTATATCATACTAAAGGCCTGGTGCAGGATCAGGCCAGCAGGCAGGGGAAGGGACCGTGGAGGTTGGTCAGCCACAGGAGGCTGGCTGTGGGAGCGCACTCAACACCAGGGGGCAGCTCCTGCACTGAGCATCTGCCCCCTGGTGGTCAGTGCACATAATAGCTAATGGCTAGTCATCTGGTCGAAATGGCTTAGGCTTTTATATCATATCTAATAATCCTCTCTGATAAATAGGGAATATGCTAATTGACCGTCACTCCATCACAAAAGAGGGCTGCACCCACAGCTGAAGCCAAGTTCCCATAAGGAGCCTTAACAAGCAATCAGCAGGGAGGCTATGTCCTCCCCTGCCTCCGTAGGGCTTGACAGGGGACCTTAGGCTATGCCCCCCACCTGGCAGGGCTTGACAGGGGACATCAGACCGAGCCCTTTGCCCTAGCGACAGGCCAGGGGACCTGAGGCCATGCCCCCGCCCGGCAGGGCTTGACAAGGATGGGACTGGCTGGGTCTGGATCTAGCCCAATGCGGGGTAGGGGTTAGGGGTAGCCCCTCAGGGGGGCGGCTGGGTCTGGGTCTCATGCAATTTTGAGGCACATGTGGGTGGGCGGGGACTTGACTCTGGGTCCGATGGTGTGCCCCGGACTCTGACAGGAGGAAGGTTTTCGTATACATTTTACTAATGTTCTTTCATCTCTGACACTTCTATTATAGAGCAAGGGCAAATAGCAATATCAAATTATTTCCTCTAATTAATCCCCTTTTAATGTGCACAAATTTCATACACTGGGCCACTAGTATATAGATAATTACCAATTATTGGATGTTTTGCTTATTATGTGTAGGCACTATGCTAAGCAGTCCAAATACATCCTCTCTGATCCAATGTTTTCCAAAGTAATGTCTGCAAACCATCTACAACAGTATCTCCTAGGATAACTTTATATTTTTAATTAAAAAAAAAAGTATTTTTATAGATTTCAGAGAGGACAGAAGGAGATAAAAACATCAGTAAAGAGCCTCTAGCTGATTTGTCAAGATCGGTGTGGCTCAGTGGATAGAGCGTCCGCTTGGGGACTAACGGGTCCCAGATTCGATTCCGGTCAGGGGCATGCATCTTGGTTGTGGGCATATCCCCAGTAGGAGATGTGCAAGAGGCAGCTGATGGCTCTCTCTCGTCGATGTTTCTAACTCTCTCTCTCTCTTCCTTCCTCTCTGTAAGAAATCAATAAAATATATTTAAATAAATAAATAAAAAAAAAGAGCCTCTAGCTGATTTGGCTCAATGGATGAGGCATCAGCCCATGGACTGAAGGGTCCGGGTTTGATTCTGGTCAGAAATACATGCTTAGGTTGTGGGCTTGATCCCAAGTGAACGGCATGCAGGAAGCAGCCAATCGATGATTCTCTTTTATCATTAATGTTTCCATCTCTCTCTCCCTCTCTGAAATCAATAAAAATATATTAATACTTGTCTGTCAAAAAAAGAAGAAAAGATCACTAATGAGAAAGAATTATCTATTGGCTGCCTCTTGCATGCCCCCTACTGGGGATCAAGTCCACAACCAGGAATGTGCAGTGACTGGGAATCAAACCTTGACCTCCTGGTTCATAGGTTGACACTCAACCACTAAGCCATACTGGCCGGGCTATTTTGACCAGCTTGGCTCAGTGGATAGAGTGTCAGCCTGTGGAATGAAGGGTCCTAGGCTTGATCCAGTCAGGGGCATGTACCTTGGTTGCGGGCAAGAGGGGTTGTACAAGAGGGGGCTGATTGATGTTTCTCTCTTATCACTATTTCTGACTCTCTGTCCCTCTCCCTTCCTCTGTCTGTGGAAAATCAATAGAATGTATTTTAAAAAATTGAGTTGAGATACCTTTTAAATATATTTATTCCTGAGCCTCATCTCAGACTTTCTTTCTAAAGTAGAAAACTTGGAGGGTGAAGGACTAACCCATGACAAAGCCCCAAGGCAATTCCACATTTTTTAATTAGTCATGTGATTTATAAGCACGAATTAGAAGCCATTCCTCTACCCCTAGGATCACCCTCCAAGAGAGAAGTTAGCTCCACATGCAGATAAACAAGCTCAACAAGAGAACAGGAGCGGTGGTACTGAAATAAAACGCAGTGCTAGCACCACTGGTCTCCAAAGGCTGCAGTTCCCTGAAAGCCAGCCCTCCTCTCACAGCCCTGAAGGGGCAAGTAGGAACTCCCCAAACCCCCCCGTGTTTCTAGCTCAGAGGGGAGCCTGCTTTGGAGAGCGATGAGGTGGGTGGTTGCACATCTCACCTGTTCGTGATCCAGCATGGTCAGTCCTTTCACTCCTGCCAGGATGAGGTTCTTGGCAATCTCAGCCCCAAGCCCTTTCATGCCGACAAGAAGCACCCGGGAGGCCCGCAGCCTGTAAAGCAAACATCGTTAACTGGACGGCAGGACAGCAGAGACTTGCCACATCACTGAAGAGCAAAACGACAGGGCAGTAATTTCAGTTTTCACTCACTGCACTGAAGCAGCACGGCCTCAAAGCTAGAAAAGAGATGCTGCAACCCATCATGCAGAGTACATTCATTCAACAAATATTTGTCGAGCACCTATGCCAAGCACCTAAGGTGGAAATAAACATAATCCTTTATCTTCTGTAACTTATACTTTGTGAAGAAAGCAGATAAATAACAGAGTATATAGGGTGGGACAAAAGTAGCTTTTACAGTTGTTCATATGGAAAATACAAAATTAATAAATAATACAAGAATAAACTGTTTCAGGTAATCACACTGTAAATGTACTCTTGCCTCACCCTGTATAGTATGCCAAAAATGATGAAAATCAAACATGATATGATCAAGACTGGTGGAAGATGTTCTTTTAGTCAAACTCATTGAAAAGGCCTGCCTGAGGAGGTGTTGGCACAAATAAAAATGAAGTAAATGATGAATATAAAGATATTTGGGGGAAGAGCATCCCAGGCAGAGAAAACAGCAAGAGCAGAAGCCCCGAGGCAGGAGTTTGTGGCCTGTCTCCGGGAGAGGAAAGAGAGCGGTGAGCACGGGGAAACTGGTAGGAAGTTAGGTGGTAGACAGAACCAGGGCTACCTCATGAAGGCTCTCACAGGCATTGTAAGGTTTCTGGGTTTGATTCTAAGCCCGATGAAAAGCCATGGGGAGTGGGGTCTGCAGGGAAGAGTATCACACTTAAGGTGAGAGGATGATGGCTTAGACTGGTATGTTAGCCGAAGAAGAGGTGGGAAGGGGAACTGTTTAAGCTATAACACGCAAACAAAAGCGTGGCAGCATGAAAGAGGGTGTTCCAAAGAAATGTTTGAATCATTGCAAGTATAACGTGATAGAAGACGCAGCTGACAGAAGGTAGTCAGAGGCTGGACTTAACTCTGAGGTCTGTCGGAGATAGTATATAGTTCTACAGCATCTTACTTGAACTCCATTGGAAGGGAGGAAAAACATACAAAATTCCCATACATAGTGACAAAATAAAGACACAAGTTCTTTTCAATGAGGAAAGAAAGAAAAAAAATCCCTTGAAGCCCAAGTGTTTCAAGAGTCACAATTTTTTATTTGAAAAAGGAATAAATTGTATAAGTACTAAACTCAAGGAGTCATTACTTTGTAAGGTATATAAATGTCTAATCACTGTTATATACACCTGAGACTAACATAAAAATTTAAAAAAATATTTTTCTATTGATTTTTTTTTTTTTACAGAGAGGAAGGAAGAGAGATAATTAGGAACATTAATCAGCTGCCTCCTGCACACCCCCCTACTGGGGATGTGCCCACAACCAAGGTAAATGCCTTAACTGGAATCGAACTTGGGACCCTTCAATCCGCAGGGTGACGCTCTATCCACTGAGCCAAATAGGTTAGGGCTAACATAAACTTTTATGTCAACTGTAATTGAACACTAAATTTTTTAAAATTACAAAATAAAAAAATTAAGTGCTCATTCATTGACATTATAAAAAGGAAATAAAAGAGTTTACATCATGAAACAACCCCATCAGGATCTTAGACAGTGCCCTGTAATTAAACTCCTTAATATTTCTGCAGTGAATATATGATTATTCACACTGAAAAGGATAAGTAAGAACTAAGAACAGCCTCATATAAATTCAAGTTCTGCTGGACAATGAGTTTGCTCTTAATTTATGAAATGAGTCAATTCTCAATAAGTACCAGTATTGGGAAGAACATGCAGAAACTATTTTCCAATGCTTCTAATAATTATGGATGTTGCATGTAGACTAGAAATCTTTCATGAGAATGGTGGCCAAGTCCTGTGCTGATTCTTGGTGCTAGCAGATTTTGGATTTTCTTCACAGTCAAAGAATAAGCTGGGAAAAGAGGGTGAATATTGACAATATTTCCCTCAAAGGGATATGTCTGGGTCTCAGTTTCTCCATTATTGCTTTCAATCCATGGGCCCTTTCACTGTCAATCACAGGATAGCAGGCACAAGTCTTTCAAGTGATAATTCCACTTCATCAAAACGGGGGGAAACTGAGAAGAGGGCTTATAAGACACAACGAGCAGGTCCTTTATCAGAGATGTAGAGCATCACACCAATGGGTGGGAGGACGAAGGAAAACTACTTGGCTTTCCAGAGAAGCCTTAATCCCTCAAGAATCAGCAAATATACCATAATAAGCAATGTTTCCTAAAAGAATATAGTACACATATCAAACCAGCCTTCTACCTGGCCTCCTCACTCAGAAAGGGGAGCACCCTTGCATTTAGCTGTATCTTCCAAGTCTCTGCTGTCATAGTGATCTATGAGCCCTCCCAGCACCTGGAACTCCAGGTTTTAAATTCCCATTCCGTCTGAGTGACTGGGTTTTCTGCTGACGGCTCCAGTACCTTACAGATACAGTCCTGTTCGCGTCTAGGAATCCCTATCTTCAATATTACCAACGGCCTCCTAATCTCCACGCCCACTAACTTCTCAGGCTGTTCTCCTTGATATTCCCTCAGCAACAGGCACTACCTACCACTCATGCCTCTATGTCTGAAGACTTGGGTTTGAATTCTGGCTCTGCCACTTCCTACTTGGCTGACCTAGAGAATCTCCCTAAACTTCAGTTTATCCACCTGTAAAATGGGGATACTAATTCTGACTTAATAGTTTTTAATCTCAACAACCTGGTAGAATGTGTATACAAAGCCATCTAGCATAATCCTTTGCATGTAACAGATGCTCAGTATATGTTACTTGAGTTTAACTTCTCCCCAATCCCATTGTCTTAATTACAAATGGCTCAGTAAAGGGTTCATTCTGATTAAAAACACACCAACACAGCCGAAACCGGTTTGGCTCAGTGGATAGAGCATCGGCCTGCTGACTGAAGGGCCCTGGGTTCGATTCGATCAAGGGCATGTACCTTGGTTGCAGGCACATCCCCAGTAGGGGGCGTGCATGAGGCAGCTGACTGATGACTCTCATTGATGTTTCTATCTCCCTTTCTCTCTGTGAAAAATCAATAAAATATATATTTTTTTAAACATACCAACACAAACAAATGACCAAAAAAATCTAAGCTGGCATTTAAAGCCATTCAGTATTGCCTATCTCCGACTTCCCCAGCCTTACCTCCCGCTACCACCAAATTACTTTACTCAATCCCAAACTTGCCCTCAGTTTTCCACCTGCAAACTTTTTTTATATGCCTATATTTTTATTGATTTCAGAGAGGAAGAAAGGAGAGAGAGAAACTCCAATGAGAGAGAATCACTGATTGGCTGCCTCCTGCCTGCCCCTCCACTGGGGATCCAGCCCCACCCTGGGCCTGTGCCCTGACCGGAAATTGAACCGTGACCCTGCTCAACCACTGACCCACACCGGGCAGGCCACCAACTGCAAACTTTATTTTATTCCCCCCCATTTTTTTAATTAAGGTATTATATGTGTACATATCTTACCATTGCCCCCCTCCCAACTGCAAACTTTAAATCACAATATTCCACACACCTTGAAATGCACCTGTTCTTCCTCTCAAGCCTTTCCTCAGACTTCAAACACCAACTCGAGTCTGCCATAAGAAAAGCCATTTCCTCAGCGAGTTTTCTTACGGCAGACTCGAGTACTCTCTCCTCTGACTTCAGAGCACATGCCACATATAAATGCCTCGGATAAATCACGTATAGCCACGTGTCCTCTCCATGATCCCTACATCCTGTGGAGCTCTTCAAACTCTGCAAGTTTTTGTGTTTTTTTAAATTAAAGTGGTATCACCACTGGCCTTCATGTTTATGTTGTTAATCCTTAACCATGCCAGGGGCCCCGAGATTACATCTTTTTTTTTGGGGGGGGGGGGTCTTTATTTTTTTATATATATATATTTTATTGATTTATTGATTGACAGAGAGGAAGGGAGAGAGATAGAGGTAGAAACATCGATGAGAGAGAGTCATCGATCAGCTGCCTCTTGCACACCCCCTACTGGGGATATGCCCGCAACCAAGGTACATGCCTTTGACCGGAATCGAACCTGGGACCCTTCAGTCCGCAAGCCGATGCTCTATCCATTGAGCCAAACCGGCCCCGGCCCGAGATTACATCTTACTTATGGCTCAATTATATGAAAAGCACTTAAAATAGTACCTGGCATTGAGTCAGCATTTAATGGATGTCAGCTATTACTATTCATACTCTGACACAGCGATTCCCCTTTAGGAATCAATCGTACAGAAATGTTCAAGTGGTCACAGAAGTCATTACAAATACATTCACAGCAACATCGCCCACTTGCTTCCCTCTACCTCCACCGAGTCTGGTCTGAGCCACCATCCTTTCTCGCCTACAGAACTCAACAGTCTCCTACCCGGCCTCCCTGTTTACACGTCCCCATCTCAGGCAGAGACAGGACTCTGGCATTAGCTGTTCTCTCCAAACTTTTCACAGGACCCATCCTTGGTTTCAGCTCAACTGTCACTGGTCACCTAATCCAAAATATGTCCACTCCCTCTTCTATCTGGAATTATGCTAATTGCTTGTGTTCATTGCCTGCTCCTCCATTAAAATGTTAACTCCAGATAATAGTGATGATTATAAAATGTAAACTCCGGAAACCACTACATCCCTAGCAGTTATGACTGTGCTTGGCGCTTATACTGTTACTCAAATAGCTGTTGAATTAATAAATATATCAAAACAAGCCCAAGTGTCCATCAGCAAAAATAATCACCTGGCATGTGACTGAACACTCACTATGGGCCAAGCACTGTTCCAAATTCTTTATATCATTTAATCCTCATGACAATCTTATCAGCTGGTACTTTGTTATCCCATTTTACAGCTGAGAAAATAGACACAAAGTCAACTAGCTTAACCAAGGTTATACAACTAGAAGTGGCTAATATGAGCTAACAGATAAGGGCAACAATAAGGTAG